ATATAATTTTTTCATATCACGCTACTGATTCAAGGCCAAGAATTTAACAAGTGGACCTATAGGTAGGTAAATTTTGCATCACGAGTTTGAACAGATAATATATTCTAGCAGCATTAGAGCATCCACAGTGGGGGGTGTATTTTTGGTGGTGTAAAGCCACTTTTACATCCCCTTTACACCTCCGGGGGGTGTAAATACGCTTTTTGCTCCAATGGGGGGGTGTATTTTCGGGGGTGTAAAATTGTAAGAAGCAAACTCATATAAAAAATTGTGTCTAAAAGAAATTCATAATGGTAAGCATATAATTTTTTCATATCACGCTACTGATTCAAGGCCAAGAATTTAACAAGTGGACCTATAGGTAGGTAAATTTTGCATCAGGAGTTTGAACAGATAATATATTCTAGCAGCATTAATTCGTTAGAAATTAAAAAAACAAAAAAAACATATGACAAACCATTATAACAGCATAAACATGTAAATACCATCTTCCAAAGTATTTTGTTGTCCTAAGAGGCCTCTCCTCCAAAGAATACCAAAAACCAGTAATATAATGAAGACTCCTCCAGCCACAATTCCCACTACTGCACCTACAATTCCACCAGGTGATGTGCTACTTGCAACTTCTGGTGGGGGTGGGGTTGGGGTTGGGGCTTCAAAATCTGCAAGAAGAAGAATCCCACTACTGCACCTACAATTCCACCAGGTGATGTGCTACTTGCAACTTCTGGTGGGGGTGGGGTTGGGGCTTCAAAGTCTGCCAGAAGAAGAATAGCTTTATTAGAGTAAATGTAAATGTAATAGATAAGAGAGTACATTATTCAACCAGCTTCCTAATATTTTTTGGACTTTATCTGTGACGAAATCAAACCTAGCCGCTCTCTCCCTCTGTGGTTCTAACCGTTAGTGAATAAGTCCATTAGGGCGTTTTGAATAAAAAGCCTCTTGTGGTGGTTTCTTCTAAGCCATGGTTAGATTGAAGTTCCCCATCACCCCTTTTAGTCTATGTTCTCAATCAAATCCTACTCCCAAAATCCGCTCCCTAACATTGCTCATGTTCTTTAAATTTGATTATACATCGTCTTTGACAGAGGTTGCTGCAAATCACCCAATTATTTTTTGGCAAAGTTGTTGTTTTCGTTTATTTGTTCGCTCTTATGCGTAGGTAGATCGCTGGAAATCATATTTTCCCCAGATCTGTTACGGATGCGGTGGTGGGTGTGGCCTCAACAGCACTTCTTCATGTGGTGGTGGTAGGGTTCGTTTAGGCTTATGAGTTGATTTAGGGTTTTGGTTATGTTGGGTGTATGGGCTTTGTTTGGGCTTATGGCTAATTGTGGTGATGTGGGCTAGTAGTTATAGTGCGGCTTTTGTCCGTGTTAGTTTTGGTTTTAGCATGTTAGTTTGTTGCCCTCTTGGGATTGGTATTTTAGATGTTTTGTTGATGTCTTTAATTGTACCGTTGAAGTTTATCTAATCAAGTATCTATTTGATAAATAAAAAAATTAATAATAATAACAATAATAAAAAGACCAGCTTCCTAATACACAAAGAAACAAAAGATTCAACCCTCTGGGGGAACCTTAACATAAGTAGATAGAAAAATACATAGATGCATTTTTGTGGCAATACAAGGAAAAAAAACAAAGACTCAGAGCTCCAATGATGGAGGCGATCAATTTATTGAGTACCACACAGCCCTTATCAGTTCCCCTCCCTCACCCCAAAGAAAATAAAAAGTAAAAAAATCAGAAGAAGCAAGCACTCTGCAGAACTAAAGCCGGGTCTCTTAATTTTGTTAAAATATTAATTGCCTAACATGATATTTACATACGAGAAACTCCCAATGGTCTACAAATAGTAATTATAAGAAGCTCAGCACAACGTAAAGTTACCTGCAGGATCTGCCGAAATAGCTGATATAAGAGGACCATAAACTCCTGTAAGAGGGATACCGGTCGTCCCTTTCCCAGCCCAATAAAAACGGATCTCCAAGGTACCACTAGTTACAGCAGCAGTATAGTTCATTATGACTACAGTACTAATCCCACCAGCTTCATCCACAATATTGAAATCCTCCCGCACTAGTCTCCCCTGCAATATACTAGTTTTGTTAATTAAAATTTTGTTGAAGAATATAAGTTCCACATCATAAATTTGACAAAATATAATACAACTTATAAAGAGTGGTTCCACTACTAATATTACTGAGGCCTTTTATGATAAAACCCCACATTTATTGGGCTTTGTAGATGATTAAGTTGGGGACAATATCGGTATTGCTATTAGTGGGCTGATAGCCCGTCTCTCTGAAATTTAACACATTTCATATTGTAATGTGACCCTTACCTGAATGTAAACATCAAATATACGCCTTCCCAGGCTTTTATATGTTTGGCCATTTGTAAACACTGTCTCTGCAAAATGGAGGTTTACGGTGTATTTTCCATTTTCCAGACAAAACCCATAATATGTTAGAGAGATGGGAGAAAGGCGTGCATCCCTGTACAGTAGTGGATTGGCCATAGCGGGTATTTCGTTGGTCAATTTATAAGTAAGGTTGCCCACATCATCATTAGTCAAGGTGTCTTCAAGACCTCCACTATCACTAAAGTAACCAGTGCTGCTTAATGCCCAATTTGTTGTGCTCCGGTAAAATGATGAAGGTCCAGCTGAATATGTGTCCGCCTCAAATGTTTTATCTTTTTCCCCATATACAGTTACTGCTTTTCCACCACAATTTATACCGAGAGAGTACCAAGCTATGACAGAAAGAAAAAGGAGATTAGTAGCCATTGCTGAGGAAAACAAAAATGAATCAACCCCAGAAGAAGAAGAAAAAGGCAATTATGGCAATTATTTCTATTATACCAAGCTATGACGGAAAGAAAAAGGAGATTAGTAGCCATCTTTTCTATTTCTTTTGAAACTTCATAACAGACTATGGGCATGCAAGTCTCCCACTCCCCAAAACAAAAGAAGATCAAAGATAAATATATCTTGGAAAGCAATATGTGGAAACCCAACTTACTTTGTGGACATTTTTGAATTTCCAAACATGTAGTTTTTCTGATAGGAGAATGCAGCAGGATCCAGAAGAAGTCAGCAAGATAACATCATAAATGAAAATAAGTTGTAAAATAAAATAAGAATACTCAGTTGGAATGCCAGGTAATTTATCTACGCATGCTTTCGGAGGATTAATTTGTAACTTACGAACTATTGCCCTTTGAAGAGCTTGCAAACAAGTTCCTGTAGAAATTAACACAAATTGAAAATTTAAGTTTGCTCTACAAGACACAAACAAAGTAAACTCAAGCTAATGAAAACATTCGTACAAGCCGCCTTGTGATTGACAACCTTTGTCCCCTATGGTGAAGTTATTATATGAAAGATCACTGCACAAAAAGGGTTGTTACGTAAATTCCTTTCCAAATGCAGTACGAGAATAGAAAATAAAATGAGGAGCAAGAGGTAGGTATTAACATGGTTGGACTGAAGTTTTTGCATTTATATAAATTCTAGCAAGATTTAATTATGAAAATCTAATATTAAAACAATCAACCAAACTTCATGAGAAGAAAAATATTAGCTACTTGCACTATTCATAGTCATAGGTGCCTAAGCTCTCACCACTGTCCACGTTAAGCCAAATTCACCTAAAATCGTACTGAATTTGGTCAAGCTACCCGCATCTCATAAGTATGAGTCATAACACACTACAAAATATTTGGACAACAGTGACCTTTTCTTTGGTGACTATTTGTACTATTAGTCACCTTTATTCGTGACTACAGGCTTTAGTCACCCTATTAATCAGTGTGTTACATATGTGTCCGTAACTATCGATGTTTGTCACCATAATAAACCATTCGTGACATGAGTTCGTCAGGCTAAAGGACATCATGTCCAATCACCATTAGTCATACATATTTTATTATTTTGTCAGGCAATACGTCTTTTATTATTTTGTCATGTCCAATCACCCTTAAACCACCACCATCCCAAACCCACCCAACTCCAAACAGCCTCTCCCAACCCCACCCAACACCGTCAACCAAACCACCACTTCGCAGGCAGCAACACCATCTCCATCTCCCCTATGTCCCAACCACACGATTTGTTTTATTTTCATTTTTATCTCCCTAAATATCCTAGCCGTACCAAAATTTGCAATTTTGGGGTACATAGAAGCATCTAGTAGAATATTGCTTGTCTTTAGATCTCTATGAATGATTCTTAATCTTGAATATTGATGAAGATATAAGATCACAATAGCAGCAATCCCACAGATTATTTCGAAGCATCTCGTCCAATTCAAAAGCGCTCTGTTTTTTTTCAAGTATTCATATGATCTTCTGTTCACAGCCTTATCGCTGCTATTTCCTTTCCATTGTAAAGCACACCCTGAAATTATAATCCAAACTTAACACATATTCTTTTGAGGAAACTATTAGAAATCAAATAATGCATGACAACACAAAAAAGTGAAATGATTCTGAGGGCGGCTACCTTATAGATAGAACCAAATCCACTTGTTTTGGAAAGAGAAATTGTTCGTCGCGGCTGTGATGTTTATAAGATCAAAGAAACCATATGATGGTGATGGAATCCATATTGCAGTCCTGAAAAGACCAATGGAGAGGGGGTGATGTGCCTTATATGTACACACCCGCATCAATCTAGCACGAGGCCTTTTGGGAGCTCACTGACTTCGGAGTCGTAGGAACTCCGAAGATAAGCGAGTTGGGGGCTAGAGCAATCCCAGGATGGGTGACCCACTGGGAAGTTGGTCATGAGCTCCCAAAAACAAAACCGTGAGGGCCAGAGAGGGGGGGCCCAAAGCGGACAATATCGTGCTACGACGGAGCCAATCCGGGATGTGACAGCAGTGGTGGCCTTTCTCTTCCATTTTCCTTTCTGCACAGATCTTGCAGGCTTAGCTCGCCTTGTTGTTGTATTGGGACCAGCTTCACTTGTTTGAGTAGTTTGTTGGGATGAGGCAAAAAACAATAAACTGTTAGTTGCATCATATTCCAAAAACATAAAAATTTATAAAATTAACAAATGTTCAGCCTGAAATGTTTATCTCTGCTTTCCTCTTTTTTATTTTTGTTTTGGGATGGAGATTCCTGTGACAAGTCCTTTTGTTGTCAATGGCGGACCTACAGAGGTGCAAGGAGGTGCAGTTGCACCTCCCCTCGCCGGAAAAAGCCATGGATGTGCTGGATTTGCCCCTTTGCTCTCTAGCATTTTAAAAGGTATTATCAAGGAGCACCTCATGGAGTGCGACGATCTGAGGCCTCCTGAAATCGCATCAAGGCACCATTCGTATGGCAAGTTACACGATTGAGGCACGCGCTGTGTTGCAGAGGAGTTGCAGAGGTGTTTCGCTGATGGAGGCTCTGGTTCACGAATGAAGAAGACCACCCTATTTTTATTTGTCACAAACGGCGTCGTCCTTCATTTACTTTTAATGAAACGCGTGTTTCAATGAAGTGTTTTAAAAAAAATCAAACTCTTCGGTTTTGGTGCCACCGTTTCAAGATTCATGGCAAGTTACATGATTGAGGCACGCGCTATGTTGCAGAGGAGTTGCAGAGGTGTGTCGCTGATGGAGGCTCTGGTTCACGAATGAAGAAGACCACCCTATTTTTATTTGTCACAAACGGCGTCGTCCTTCATTTACTTTTAATGAAACGCGTGTTTCAATGAAGTGTTTAAAAAAAAATCAAACTCTTCGGTTTTGATGCCACCGTTTCAAGATTCATTGTCTTGCTTCAATTACTTGGTTGTTATAATAAATATTTCATTATAATAATGTAATATCAAAAGGCTTACCCATCTGTCCAAAAAAAAAAAAACAACGAAGAAGAGTCCTTGCACAATGCTCTCAAATCACCATTTGATATTAGAGTTTTTGTTTAATTAGGACTTGATTGATACTACTTGTTTGTTGATCTAATCTTTTTGCTGTGATAATATGTTTTTATTATTAATTTTGCATTTATTTTATCGTGCTAATCAATCTTAAAATTAACTAAGGGTCTGGTTTTCATAATATGTTTTTTATTCAGTCCTTGGCCAGTACCAAAATCATTATTGCCCCTCTCCTGAAAAATTCCTGGATCCGCCACTGGGTACACTATATTATATTACTTTTTAATTTTATATTTAATTTGAATGTCACCAAAAATGGTGAGGAGTTCATTGCCAACCTTCCCATGTCACCATTGCGTATTGTTTTTTCTGCGTTTTATACGTATTTAACTGGATTACTTTTACTAAAAAAGATTATCCTAAAATATTATATTGTAAAATTACTTAAATCAATAGTCACCAATTCCTTAAAGTGTGAGATAACTAGTCACAATTAAAATTTAAATCAAATGTTACCAAAATCTATTTGTTGCTTTAAAATTGTGACTATTGTCTTCTTTTTTTGTAGTGACATATATTATACCAAGATGATAAGGGTCCACCCAAAGACAAGGGCATAGCCATCATTTAATTTCAGGATGCTCTCTTCCATTGGAACTACCTTCTATGTTGATTAGGTCAATCTCTCCAACTTATGCATCTACAAAACGTTGTTGAATATGTCGAATCATGTCCTTCCTTGTCTTTCCACACATCCATCTTGACATTCTCATTCCCACCACACTCATTTTATGAACATGTTGATTTCTAAGTACATTCTCATTCCCCCCACACTCATTTTATGAACATGTTGATTTCTAAGTGCCTAGAATTTTGTCCCATATAGCGTGGCTGGTCTACCAATATATGCAAAAAATGTTTTGGAGAGATGAGGGAAACCTTGAAAAAGCTTAGGAGTCATAAACTTAGGAAACATTTTAGGATACTTTTAAAGAATGTACATTAATTAATGCCTATTTCATGAGTATAATTGTATGTCAAGCTTAGGAATCATAAAACTTAGGATACTTTTAAAGTCATGAGTATAATTGTATGTCAAGCTCCATTATGAAAAGTCATGTCATAACGAATGCACTATGCTTTATCCAGTAATAGACAGCATAAATCTCCTCACTAAATAACTAAATATTAGACTTTGGAAGAGAAGCTTACACATTTTGTTTCGTCCAAGTAGGCACGGGTCCAGTCAGCAAGTTTCCAGTTAAGAATCTAAACATA